AAGAAGACCTGTTTGAAAACAGTCATTGTTTGTGCAATTTCAGTTGATGATGCTAGTATACACTAGTTTTAAACACGCACACACACACACACACAGTGGATGTGATGCTCTGCTTATACAATCACACACTCCTCCATCCCTGAATCTTTTCTCTCTCTGTGTCTCCTGCTCTATTGAGGTGAGACCTTTAATCGGCTCTCGTCTGTCATGTGTGCGTTATACTGCTGCAGACTGTGTGTGTGATGCTTTAAATGACGGCTCACATTTTTAAGATTCAGCCTACACACACTAATCTGAAATGCTTTGGTTAAGCTCTCTTAAGAAATCTTGAGCGTGACACAAATGCATCTCACACACACACAGAGGAACAAAGATCCTGATCCCACTGGCTTTCTCTTCTGCATATCTATCTTCACTCTTCACACTGTAGTGTAATATTCATGTCCTTCATCTTAAAAAGGGTTTTTGCTCGTCACTCTGTCAAGCTTTTGCAAGAGTAAATCAGACTCAGCTGCTCGTGTTATCAGATGAAGCTCTAACGGACCGATCAGACTAATATCTGCTCCAATCTGAGAGACCTTAACTAGACATACAGGTGTAATTTCCTTCATTATTATTCATACAGTCACAATACACAAATACACCACTTAAAAATATCCTTGACTAATTTTCTGATATTTTCCTCTAATGCTGCATGTAACGAACAAAGTTAAAGACTCTAGTCTTTTTGTTCCTACACTCTAAAAACATGTTTGTAAATGAAACAAAAATTATCAGAGTATGCTTTACACATACTGTGTTTAAGCTTCAAAATGTCATGTTTAGTTTAATGTGCTGTTTCTTTGTAATTATGAAATTTACTAGCAATTTCTGAGTTTTGTCGTTTCTATACCAATTGTTCCTATACGTACAATTCACTGCAGTTTCCTGCTGAAATGAACCCTAGAGGCAGTAAAACACCAACAACTTGTATTCCTTTTTAACACGAAACATGACTACAGAGGCAGATTTGCGATTAATAAAGACTTATTTTTGCGTGGTTGCTTGCACAACTCTGTTATGGCCACAAAACACTTTTACCATAGCACCTGATTTGTAAACGAATACATTTTGATGTTTGCATCGCATAACCAGCGCCATACGTGTGGCTTTTCTGATGTAGTAAGCTTGCTCGATAGCACACCTGGTACAGCATTGTGTTTGCAGTGCACGAGATCCTGTGAAACACAATAAAAGACTTGTAGAAGCACCATAAAATGGCATGATTGCTTTAGCAAGTGTGGTTTTAACTCTCATTTGCTTTTAACACTCTCTTGTCAGTTTTAGTGTAGGCGGTACATTAGTTTCAAATGCAATAGAGCAATTTTTAGCGCTACTCATCAGACATTTCATTTCCAGTTGCTGCAATATGTTCAACAACCAGCGTAATAAAACTTTGTCAGATTCACCTTCATCTGTTTCATATAAAACTCAATGCACTTTTAGCGCCACTCACTGGACATTTCTATGAAAGTTTATTTCCACCATAAAATAAAGAAATCTCACAATTGCAAGTCTTGAAATTGTGAGTTTATGTCTCACAAGAATTGCAAGATATAAACTTGCAATGAGTTAAAAAGTGAGATAAAAAGTCGCAGTTACCTTTATTTTTTTTATTCCATGGGGAAACAAACAAAAAAAACAGACTTGTGACATGTAAACTCAGAATTGCAAGTGTGAGAAATACAATTCTAAGAAAACTGTCCTAATTGTGAGATAGAAACTCGCAATTGCATAGAAAAAAGTCAGAACTGTGGGATTAAAAAGTATAATTTTTTTTTTTTTGAGGTGGAAATATATGGAAGCCCGTTTCTGACACAGCTAATTGCGACTTTTTGTCTTATTCTGACTTTTTTTCTCAGAAACTCTCAGTTGCAAGTCAGAAGTCAGAATTGCGAGACTTGCAAAAAGATTTTGTGTGTGAGTGTGAGACACTCACACACTCGCACACACACACACTCACTCACACACACACTCTCACACACACTCACACACACACGCTCAGACACGCTCGCACACACACACACTCACTCACTCACACACACTCACACTCTCACACACACGCTCAGACACGCTCACACACACACTCACTCACACACACACACACACACACACATTTTCCTCTAAATTGGACTTAATAGCTCGCAATTGCAATTCTGAGAAAAGAAGTCAGAATTGTGAGAAAAAAGTCAGAATTGTGAGAGAAAAAGTTGGTAATTACCTTTTTTTTTTTTTTTCAGTGGCAGAAATGGGCTTCCATAGAAATAAGCTTCCATACATTTCACTTTAAAAATTTGTACAAGAAGCAATGTAAATATAATTTTTTTAGCGGTTGATTGACATGCGAGTCGGCGGCCCGTCTGAGCCCAGCCATGTAACCGACCTTCAGTGCTGAAATGTGCCTGAAATAATGTCAGGTGTTGTTTCAATAATGCTAAATGGTTGTGAAAAGCTTAACAAAATACCTCTAAATCAAGACTGAAATTCTAACAAACACGGTAAAAGACGTTCACAACATAGTTTTTGTTCCGTTCCACCTTTAAATGAATTTGAGAGAGTTTATGCATGTGTTTGTTAACCCGAACACATGCGACACATCTGCTCCAGCTGTGCTGTCACTGTATTTCATCAAAGAGACATAAACAGTGTGTTTCTGCATGTGCACTTTTACTGCGGTAATGTTTTAACACAGAAAGACAGCTCAGAGCGGAAAGTCAGAGATGTGAATATACTGAGATGCTTTACCAGAACTGAGACTCAGAAACAAGAACGAGCCGAGAATCATTATCTCTACAACATTATCTGAGCTTTAGTTCTTTGCTGTGTATCCCATTAGACTCAAACTTCTCTGAGGGAGGAATTATGGGATTTCAGCGGCAGCAAACGTCTCTTGTTAGAGGTGTTTGATACGGCGTTCATCATTACTGTTACTAGTTAGTGATCTGAACAAACTCCTTAAAGGCATAGTTCACCTAAAAATGACAGTTCTGTTAATAATTACTCACACTCGTCTCTCAGACTGATGATTTCTGATGCTTTTTTTGTCCCTCTTGTTCCTTTCTACCTCTTGCATCGGGTAATTGTAGATTTAATAAGATAACGGAGTCTAATTACTCCAGCTGTGTGATGATACAGACTGTGAGATGGTAATTACACTGATAGATTATAATCACTTTCAGCGTATTGTTTTTGTGTCTTGCTGGATTTAACAGCTCAGAGCTGAAAGCAGATATTACAGCGATAAAACTCAACAGACCGTATTTCACACTCCTGAAGCATTGATTTGTTTCCCTGAAGTCCATTTATAATTTCAGTCAAAGTTTCTTGCACCAAAAGAGTCATAATTTAAGTTTTCATGACCGTTTTCACTCCTTACTATTAAATCTTTTTGATACTGTACCTTTAAGACTTCTTCTTACATAGACATTTCTGAACTCTGTTAGTTTAGTATTATTTGTACAATATTTAATAATATTTTGAATTGGCTTTTATTATTATATTTTTGTTTTTCAGTTTTATTTTTGATTTTTTAAATATATTTTCAATTCAGTTCAGTTCATTTTGTGGGGTGTGTTTGCCATTTTTATTAGGTTTTCTCTAATATTTCTTTATAGTTTTGTTTATTTTATTTTTTTTCTGTTTTAGTTTTCGTTATTTCCATACATCAAGTACATCTAAATGAAAATGATAAACTTTGCCTTGAAAACTAGCTGAAATAAAGTAAATATTCAATAAAATAACGTTTTTGTTTATATTTTATTTAATTTCAGTTAACATTCATTTTATTTCAAATAATAATAATAATAATAATAACAAAAGTGTTTTTTTTTAAGGATTTAGTTTTAGTTAACCATAATAACCCTGGTTCGAGAGTTAATTTCTGAGCAGTGTTAGTTTAGTATTATTTATATACTGTTAATTAATATTTTTGAATTCGTTTTTATTTTTATATTTTCAGTCTTCATTTTCATTTTAGTTTAAGTTTTAGTAATTTTTTTTGTGCTTTTGTTATTTTTATAATATTTCAACAGAATTAATTTCTTTTTATTTCAGTTTTTAGTAATTTTAGTACTTCAACTTCCATTTTTTAGCTTTAAGTTTTTCATCTAATATTTATATTTTATTTTCAGCTTTATTTCAATTACCTGTCAGTAGTTTCAGTAGTTTTAGTTTAACTGTAACAACATTGTTTCTGAATGAACCATTTTGCAGTTTAGTTTCAGTTCAAACGTATGCAGTTTTGTGTTGTGAATGTTAGTTTTTGTCTACTTAACCCTTATATCAGATGTGTTTATTTAAGAAAACAAGCCAATCCTGTGCTCCATCATTCCAGTATTATTGTAGCAGTGGTGAGTAGCAGCTAATTTTTCTGACAAACATCTAGCTGCTGGTAAAAGTTTATCTGAGGCAGATGCACTGAGTGAGATGTGAAGATCTCTGATGAATGGGAAGCTGTGAATGTAATGTTCTGCACTGCTGTGTTTTGTAATTGTGATAATTGCCGTGCAAATGCCCATAAAACTCGCCAAATAAAACGTTACGGCGTCTCATTTGGTGTCCGCTGGCTGAGAGATGTACTGACAGAGCTAGAAAATAATGGCGCTGCTTTAATTGAACCTGTGAGGATGCTGAAGAGCTCCTTCATACACGTTTAATAAGAGGTTTTTGAGCATTTATTGCAGTGTGGGATTGGTTTAGAGAAGGTAGCTGAAGCAGGAGATGGAGAGAAAAATCACTATTGAACCAAAGCAAAGCAAGAATGAATTATCTTGGTTTTATTCCCCCATTAATTTGCATGATAAATGTGGCAGAAAATGCTTGTAAATAAACATTTGCTCATTGTAAAGGGAGAACCTGCAGGAGAACAAATATAATATTTCAGAAAGATTTGAACTGTCTTGTGTGTTTAATGAATGAATGCAGCTGAACTTGAATGAAGTCAGACTCTTTGTGTCTGTTTCTGCAGAACACTGAATTCTATCAACAGAGTCTACACGTGTACCAGCAGGAGGCGCTCAAAGCAGAGGCCACCGTTAAGTGAGTGCAGATATGACACAGATTTTCATATTTGAAGTTTTTATTTTAATTTATTTTTGATTATAATTTATTTTAAAGTTTTTGTAATTTTGTTGTGTTTTTGTTGTTTTTAATTAGTTGAAAAAAAAAATCTATATATATATTTGTCTCTCTATATATATATATATATAATTTTTTTTTTTTTTAGGTTTAGTTACTTCAGTACATAAAGCTAAAATAAATGAAAATGAGAAACTTTGCTTTGGCAACTAGCTAAAATAATTTCATACATTTTATAAAGTATGAGTTTTTTTATATTTATAGTATAAAAGAAAGTATAAAGTAAAATTCATTTTTTTTTATATATTTTATTGTATTTCAGTTAATGTTTTTTTTTTTTGGTTTTAGTTTTCATTTTACTTAACTATAATAACCTTTGTTTTGAGATGTCTTAAGATAAATATTTTAACCTTTAATGACTCATTTTCCTGTAAAACCGCAGAAAGCTGTGTCTTTGTTGAGTCTGTCTCTCTGCCTTACTTTTTGTGAGAAAAAGACAAATTCTTATGCAAATTGCTCTGCAGTGTTTCACTAGGCCACTAGGTGGCAGGTGACTTTGACTATTCTTTTCCCTAGTTTTGTGTCTGTCAGTCTTTGCACCTGTGATTTGTATTGTGTTCTTGAGCTGGTGTTTAACACAGTTTGAAGGTGATCCTGTATTAGTTTGTTTTGATTTTACAGTAGAGTGATTGTGAGTAGCATAAAACTTTTATATGAACTGCACTCCACTGTTCATAAAGCCTCTGTATGTGTGTCGATTATGGCCAGGCCTCGTCACGTGAGTCCCGTCTGTCCTGAGATGCAGTCGCAGGTGTTGAGCTGCTACAGACTGAACAGACACCAGACGCTGCACTGCTCACACCTGGCCAAAGACTACATCAACTGCATCAACACCTCCAAGAAGGTGCGTGTGGGATCTGTGTGCTTTTATTAGGGATGCACGATATTGCAAATTATTATTATTATTGTATATAACATTAAAGGACAATGCACAGTCAAGCAGTCATTAACTGGTCAAAAATAAACAATGATGGTACAGTGTTTTTTTTATTTATTTACTATTATAGTGTTTATTTATATTTTAAATGTATTAATTTATTAATATTTTGCTTTATTTATTTATTTTTACGTTTTAGTAATTTTGTGATTTGCTTTTATAATTTTTTAATAATTTTTTTTTTATATTTCTATTTTATATTATTATTATTTCAGTTAGTTGCCAAAGATTTTTTAATATATTTTTTTGTTGACATTTTTATGTATTTTATTTCAGATTTATTTTAATCACCAAAATGTTTTATTAGTTGTAGTTTTAGTTAATAACATCACTGTGATGAGGTGATCAAGACTGTTGTGTAGCAGAGACGAGTTAATTCTATAACTGACCAATCAGAATCAAGTATTCTCAAGCGTGGTGTAATAATAACAATTGTAAATGTACAGTTGAAAAGATGAATAACTGTTTAGTACTTTTTTAACCAGGCATAGAAAAAGAGTTTACCGTTTAAAATGTAAGAAACCAGCCCTGAAGATATTGGCAATTAGAGTCTTATCAGACCCACGCTGATAATAATACACCATGATAATACTGGCCGCGAGTGAAATTTAATTCATATTTCTCTGCATTGTGTAACAAAGAGCTAGTTCATTTTAAAACATGCCAGAGTCATTTTCTCTGCAGGAAATAAGAAGCAGCGTCCACTGCTGTGTGTGTGAGTGTGTGTGTGAATGAGCAGATTTTATACAATTCTCATTTTACCGTATTGACCCGACTATAAGACGATGTTTTTTTCTTGGAAATACATCTGAAAAAACGCGGTCGTCTTATATTCAGGGTCTAGACTTTGACATGTCAATAATACACCCACAACAATAGCTGGCACCAAATACGCATAAAATGAGTGTGCAATGAAATACGTAATGTAAAAGGTACATCTGGAAAAAGGGGGGTCGTCTTATAATCAGGGTCGTCTTATATTCGGGCCAATACGGTAATACTGGATCATTCATGCATCTCACACACAGCCAGATAACAACAGCTTTTATTAGAGATGATTTATCTGTGTGTGTGTGTGTGTGTGTGTGTGTGTGTGTGAGAGAGAGAGAGAGAGTGTGTG